TCGTTATCGTTATCGAAGAAAGTTATCGAATCGTCCCAATTTCATCGGCGCAGTCACCAGATATCGTAGATAATACCGGCTTCGATTCCCGAGCTCAGCGTTGCGCTCTTTTTCCTAAACATAAAAGCATTATCTCTTCGCATTGCAAGAAAACACCGGCGCCATTATTGTTGACTCGCGCGATCAATCAACGTTTGAACTTTAAACGTCCAATAAAATTTGATACCCTCGTTGTCCTCGTGTCCGGATCTTGTCGCGTTGCATTAGTAAGTTTCTCGATAAGCGTAAGGAAAACATTGCCGCCATTACTGTTGACTCGTGCAATTGTCAGTCATTTCGGCTCGTGCGGAGATCGTTGTTTTAAAGATCTCGAGGATATCGTCCCATCCAACTATGAAGTCTCACGAGATTTGGGAGCGGAGCATCGTCTTCATCGAGCACGAATTGCTTCCGGAAATGGTGCACGATCGGTACTTCTGCGAGCCAAATTCCAGGGAATTCGTCGAGTTCGACTCGGCCACGATTCGTCTCGATGAGCTGAGCCGAAGCAGCGAGATTTATCGCGTCACGGTTGTGGTCAAGTTCTCCGGCGAGCCACGTAGCTTCCCACTAGTTTTGAAATTGCTTCCAGAGGAGGGGGCAGAGCACACGAGCCGTACGGCGTTCGACGCGTTCCAGAACGAGGAAATGTTCTACTCGAAGATGGCCCCTAAATACGGGCCCAATGATTTGGTTCCAAAGTGTTACCTGTCCGACCTGGGTCGTTACGGGAGGACCGTGATCGTGTTGGAGGATCTGGAGAAGGATGATTACAAGCAGGTTGACGGTGAGCTGGACGAGAATCATTTGAAATTATGCGTGCAAGTTTTGGCCAAGTTTCACGCGAGGGGGTTGAGGCTGAAGGCGACCGAGCCAGGGATCTTCAGGGAGTTCGAGGCGAAACTTCTTGAAATTTCTCTTACCGAGGAGGCTATGCTCCATTATGAGAAGAGATCGACTAGGTAATTGATCCTTTCTTGGAAATGGTTAGAATGCTTGTGCCAACATTCTGAAGCAGAGGTTTTGTTGGTATCTGTATATATATATGTAGACACGATATTGTTTAAAATAAGATTTGTCGAATAAAAAAATATATGACACTTTTAGTAATATAGTAGCTGAATTTTTAGAATTAATTCTTGAAGATGTTGGACATTATGTCTATTGTATTATATATTCTTCGATGATGTAATAATACATAGGTTGATAATATTCTATACGTGTTTTTAAACTAGTTTTTATAATCTTGTTTTTTGAAAAGTTTATCCTGATTTAACAATATTTTAAATTAAAAGCAAATTTTTAAATTAATCAATTCACAACCTAAGAAAAAACAAAAAGCTATAGTAGTAATATTATGTGATCGTTAAATTTATAAATCTATGATGATTGATAATCTCCAAAGTAGAAATATCTATTTATAGAAATATTTTGCTCATCGAATCTTTCTCACGATCAAAAATGTACTTACACTTTATCATAAAATGAAAAGCATAAATCATGTCTTCAAAAAAAAATCCAAGAGAAAAATATTGTAACAGTAACAATTTTTCTTCTCAATGATGTACCGGTATAAACGATGACCAAACACCTTACAGCTTCCGTTCTTTTCTTCTATCAATCATCAATCAAAATCATTCTTCCATGAAATATAATGAGGAAATTAATAAGGAACGTAAATGATTATGAATCTTTTTAATTTTAATTAAGTGTTATTAATATTATTTAATATTTTCAATTACAACGAACAACTTTCTCTTGCTGAAGAATGACAATGTAAAAATAGGATTATAAATTTTTCTATGGTTTTTAATCTAACAATGCAAATTTAATAGAACTATAATCTTAAAGAATCTTATTGTTATCTATTATCAACTATCAATCAACTCACAATCAGTATATCTTATAGATATATTATTGGGATTTGACGTATCTTAAATTTTCTTTTAGACTTTATCTTTTAGTTTTTTTTATAGAAAATTTGTGATAAAAGTTATAAAAAGAAATATAAGAATTACGATTTTAAACAAAAAAATATTATATTGAAAAGTTATTGGAAAAATTGTAAATTTTAAATTTGCAATTTTTATTATCACAGTAAGTATCCACGTAATAGAAAAGAATTTGCATTTCATCTAATAAAGGAGAGAAGAAAAATCTGATGTGAAATTTATAAATTTACAAATTGTTCATTTTATATTTTTATCGGATTATAAAATACGTATGTATATTTTTTATTATTATAAAAAAATTATATCGTATTGGATAGGTTATAATCTCATCGTTGAACGATTTAATATCACAGATAGATAATATTAACATTATCGATGTCAATGGTATAGCAACTTCTGCAACTAGCGCAATAATCAGAGCGCAATTGAACTGGACAGAATCCGAAATTGATTGAGTTTCAAATCACGAACAAATTGACGTGAATTAATAATTAATTCGTTAGAAAATCTGAACTTATGTCAAATATCATAATCTCGTGATTTCATTAATAACCATTTTAACTTTTTATATCTCTTGAAGGATATTTCTTGAAATTTTAATTAATAATTTTTAGAATATACGATATTTTCACAAAGATTTTCTCAATTTTTCAGACTTTGATTAAAAATTTTTTATTACTCACAATTCTCATTGTACTTGTTCAATAGTATTTACACATATTGTAATTTACACATTATAGATCAGTATGATCTTTCAAACATATATATATGCAAAATACCTTACGCTGTTAGATCACACATTTGTTGGAACAGAATAATTAATTATAAATTTAAATTTTACTTTATAACACTGCAAGAGAGTCGTTAAATTTTTATTCTTAATTTTACTTTATTTTTGAATCATTCCTTGAGAGGAGAATATGCAGCAATAAAGATTGCAAAGTACACACAAGATTAAAATAAATTTTTAATTTATTTTTACATTACCGTCTCTTTTCCTAATTATGCCACCGATTGTGGGGAAAATCGTGTTTCAAATTTGTTACTTACATATCGAACTCTCCTCAAAATTATGCAATCATTATGTAATTCAATAATTGCGCAACGCAACGTGTATTATACAATTGCAGAATGTTGGACATCCTTGAATCCTTATCGAACTCAGCCTTTGCCGAGAAGATGAAACGGAGGTTAAACAAGAATCCAATGGAAATCGTGAAGGGTATCCTGACGGAGGTGAACGACGTTTCCACAATATGTCACGGCCATTTTTCACACGATAATCTGCTGTTCAAATATCAGAACGGGAAACCGATCGGCGCGAAGGTGATCGACTGGCAAACAATGAGATATTGTTCGCCGGCTGTCGATCTTGGGCCCATTCTGCTGTATAACGTGACGCATGAGGACGGCTCGTCGAAGGTGCAGGAAATTTTGACGCTGTACATCGACACCGTCAGATCTGAATATCCAGAAGTGGACGGGCAACGACTCAGGCAAGACATCGTGGACAAATTCTTCTTTGCCGGTGTCGTTCTCTCCTTCCTGGATCACATAACCGACGAAGAAGTTACTCGTGTTTTGCTGCTGTTGGAACAATTGGACGATTTTAACTGAACGAATTTTTTAATTTATTCCGATTTTTTAACCAACCGGTGATTTATATATTCGGTGTTTCGTCTCTTTTCTTCCTTTTTTCTTTTTTTTTTTTTATTATCAGTTAACGGATTATCTTTCATAGAAGATATAATCGAAATAAAATGTTTTAAAGATATTTTTTAGATACACGGTTGAGCGAAAAGCGAAAATTTTCTTTTTTGTTACATCAATGAATTTAAAGTTAAGAATAAGATTGATTCGATGCTTGCGATTCTTTGATAACGATTTTTTTAATCCATTAATTTTCATTATTGATCTCATAATTTATGATGATTCGAGTAGAATTACGTTTTTTTGTATGAAGATAAAAATGTGAAAAATATAATCTTAAATATAAAAATATAATTATAAAATATATATTATACATATGAATTATAATTATAAAAATATAATCTTGAATATAAAATCGTCTCTCTCATTACTATTGATTTCATAATATAATATTACGATATTTCTGATCTAAATACTTTTAAAAATTCTTCCCATCTTGATCGATCGAATTATAAATTTATATTTTTATTTTCCAAATGCTTTATTCTAAACGCTGTAATAGTAATCGTAATAAATCGTTTGTTTACATTTGCACGACAAAAGATTACCAAACTATATATATATAAATTTGATAAAAGATCTTGATATTAATAAAATTATTATATCATTTTTCCTCTAGTGAGCAACACTCATAAAGAAACCGTGAATTTCGCTCGCAATCAAGGCCTAGCGTTTACCTTTTGCACAAACGCGTTCGAACCATTGAATTTTTCAACGCGTATAACCCATACGATACGCTTTTTGATCGATGCGGAAAAATCGAAATGTGGATCACAGGTTCTCGCCCCTTTCTGCTACTCCACATGCCCATGCGCAGCTGCTGTTACGTTATACACGGAATACGTATCGGCGTTGTTCCATGAAATGTAATATTACTTTCGCCCCGAATAATGTTGCAGATGAAAAATGTACTTCAACCTCGCTCTCGTTTCGGCCACGGATTTATGTACACGCACAGCGTATCCTTCTCACATCCGTTATCCAGGATCGATCTTGCTCCCTCTTCCTTCAAATTTATACGCGTGTGTCCAAATTTTGCGATCTCGTTCACGTAAATCCACGTGGAATTTGCATTTACTCTGACGGATATATATATATATATATATATATATAATATCGATCGAATTAATTAATGATTTCGACGAAATGTGCACTTGGAATGGGAACTTTTCTTAAATCTCTGAAATACCTGTTACCTAGAATAGAATAGTGGAATAACCTGTTCTCTTAGAAATCTTGTTTTCTAAAGTATTTTAATTATTGATTCGTTAATCGTCCTCGTGATATAAAACACTTTCGATATTTACTTTAAATAAAACTGTGTACGTTCGAATACGATAACGAGATAAAATATGTATATAAACAATACGAATTTCGTTTATTACTATTGACGAAATATCTTCCATCTAAACATCCATTTTCTAATATTTACCACTGAATATCGTTTTATATAAGGAAGGTGAAATAATAAGGATTACTTATGAACGTATTCCTAACCTCTTTATATACATATCGAGGAACCGATCTCTTAATTTAAATCTTACTTAAAACAAACAAAGAGAGAAATCTCGCGTTTTGATAAAAAGAAAGAAAAAAATTGTAATTTTCATCATCCTGACAGATGACAAAAATGAAATACTCACGTTTTATTTTAATTCGTTTCATCGAATTCTTCGGAATTCTCTGTTAGCCTTTTGATAATTTTTTAACTCAATTCGTTACATCTACCTCTAATTCCGCCTCTGGCTCTGGGTTTGCCTCTGCCTCCGGCTCCGCCTCCGATCTAGGAATCTCTATTGTTCGAAATTGCAATATTCTAGGTAGCGGTTCGTTAATTCGAGCTTGTATTTGACTTCGTAAATTTCTACCGATATCTTGCACGTGTTGTCCAGAGATTGACAGGCAATATACAATGGCCAGGATTATGATTATTACGATAATGGATATTATCATGCGACGAAAAGTGCATCTTGTCTTCATCGTGGCCTTTATGAGCGGTTTGTACGATGGTAGGAGATCCTTCGTTGAGATGTAACATTTTAAGGTCTGGGGCGATGCGCTGCTTTCATTGCAATTGCACACCGCCTCCACTATAGAGAGACCCATTCACGCTTTTGGAATTTTGACGATTCGGGTGCCAAACACGTTTAATTGTACACGCTGGATTTCGATTGCGGATGCCGATAGTCTGATTTTATGCGCTCGTTGCTTTCTGTTCTGTGCGCGTGGTTTAACGGGTGTTCCTCGAGTCGAATCACGAATTAGGCGAACGTATGCATCCCATTATTTATGATTTCTAAAGGAGACAAATTGCTTTCTAATGTATTTAAATCGATGAACAAATTTTGTCTTGCAGATCATTATTTTTCCTTGATTTTTGACTCGATAATTTACAACTTGGGAAATTTAATCAATTTGATTAATCGTGATTTTCATTTCTATGGTCAGAATTGGATTATTGATATAATAAATATGATAGGTTTTCAAGAGATATACTTTTTTATGATGAATAAATCAATTATGTGGTAATTTTAAATCTAAAATAAGTTAAATAAAGCGAAATATATGATGGACGGTGGATATAGCGTAGATATAGTTCATTAATTAATTCATGAAAATATTTTAAACCCAGTCTTCCTTGAACTGATCAAAATAGTATATAATTAATGATATAATATTCCAGGTATCATCAAGGTATTCTACGTTGTAATTCTATTAATTAATTATTTTAATTTCATTTCTATCTCCATATCCCATGTCTTCTTTTATTTTTATACAAATTCAATTTGGAAATTTCAATAATTTAAACGTTTAACGAGACACAGAAATGATGCATCTATTATTTCAGTTGTTAAATCGTAAAACAATTTATTTAAGGCATATGATATATCTACATTAATGTCAGTGATACAAAAAGTGACAAGTTTTACCAATTAATAATAGATATATCCACGTATTGTGTAAATAAAAATAGTTTTTTATGCAATGAATACTTTGGAAATTCTATTTTGTAGAAATTCAACGTTAAATATAAAGTGTACAATCATACTTCCTTTATTTTTTATTCGTTTATTTGTCTTCAAAATCATTCAAAATTTTTATGTGTGCTCATATTTTTTTTCTCGTTTTTTGTATTTTATGTCGATTCATTAGCGTAAAGACGAATAATTTTTGTACGAAATCTATTTTTTATCATAATACACAAACATATACGTTATTTATAAATTGTATTATTTACAAAAGTCCTTTTTTTAAGATTTTTGGTGATTTAAAAAATTTCTTTCATAAATCTGATCCAATATTACATATGTATATTGTAAAAATTACATGCTGATTTGAATTTGAATTGGTGGAAGCGAATGGAATAACACAATATTTATTTTTTATACTTTATACTTTCAAAATGAACTTATTAAATATCAAATTCTATAAATTCATAATATGTCATGAAAAGAGCAAATTGATTAAAAATTATGATACTTATGCTGTATTCGTTACATGTATAATTATGTAAAATGTATATAATTAAATAAATTTATATTTTAATTGTATTTTAGATCATAGATTTTAAAAAGAATATACGATGTATAATATTAACTGACAAATATTAATTTTAATTTATTTTATTATGAATTGAACATTGTGCAACAATAATACACCTCGTGATAAAGTAAAAATTATATTTGTTGTAACGATATCTCTTTCAAAAATACCTATGAAAAATACTGCAATATTATACTATTGAATTTCAAATATCGTAACATTATATTATTAAAGTAAATAAGAAAATAAAACGACAACGAAGAGGAAAAAAGTTGTTAATTCATTTTTCAAAAAAAATATCTACGTGTAGGATAATTGCAGAATACTCCATGTCTCGAAAAACATGTCTGAAATTTAAATATTTAGAAACTGTAAAATGTAAATTTGTATTAGAATTAACTGTCCTAAAACATATAATAATCAATAGAAGTATAAAATTTATTTTACGAGAATATTGATAAATGTCAAACAACAAAATAATATTTTTTACAAACGATACTGTACATCCTACAATTTAAAATATCGATTTTGAGTTAAGATTTTGTGGAAAGAAACATAAAATTCATAAAATATAATATAAATTCGTGTTCAATTGCAGATATATACATCGAATTATTTAGGTTAATTCGATATATCGTTTCTTATATGCCAGAAACACGAGTGTGCAAATTGTCTGTTTAAACATAAAATAAACATTGTTTTTTTTTACTTTATTTAATATCAGTTGACAATGATAAAACAATGTTTAACATTCAGTTTGGATTAACTGAAGTAAAATACTAATATCTCAAAAATGGTAATTATCTTCTTACACTTTACACTTAAAATATTCCATTCCATATTCAAACTCAAAATCTAATTTTAAAATGATGATGTAATTATTAATTATTTTTATAGATCGATACAATCTAAAAAAGAATTATTATTAGTAAAACGTTAACACACATTATATCATATTTAATTAATTTAACGAATATGTATTTATCCAAGATTCTGAAAATCATTGCATTATACTTCCATTATTCATTTTAAAACAATTTGCTTGTTTCGATGATAACAGCAGTGTAATTGTGTTAAACGGTCAAATTCACGAAATGCAATCACCACATGGAACAGTTTCTTCCATTTAATTATGGAAATATATAATTTAAATAATATATAATAATAATAAATATATATATAAATCACAATTTTGATATCGCTTTTCTCTTCATTGAAATTTTAAGCAAAATTTAATAATCTTGAAATTTACACCAACTGATCATATGGACGATGAGTTCATAGATAAAATGTAAATACTCTATAATTTTGTTATATTATTTATATATATGTAATGACGATCGAAAGAATTTTATCTTATATCTTTATGAGCTTAACAACGAATTTCGCGAATATTAAGAATGCGAATTATTTCAGGTCGAATTCAACAAGAAATATTATTAACGAGATGAAATTTCGTAGAATAAATAATATTTGTACACAGCATTGGTATTTTAAGTGTAGTAGATATCTATTTGTATATAACTTGATTATTTTAAAATGACTGAAACTGAATCCTGATTTAAATATATGACATTTCTATTCGAGACTTTGTTTAAAATTTTTAGGAACGAATATTATATATATTTAGAAATGAATTAAGATTGATTTGACATTTTTCAATTGAGAGCAGAGAAATTTTTAAAAGAAAACGAGAAGAATGTCGATCGAATTAAGACTTAAGATTTATAATTAAAAATATAACACTAAAATATCCCACAGCTTGTCACAATAATATTTGAAACAAGATGTATTAAAAGTTTAACGAGATTATCTGTACCATCTCGTTGCAATACTTTTTCTAGATTAAAAAAAGTCTTAAGTTCAAATCAAGTATATCAGTAAAGGAAGTACAAAAGAAAGTAGAAAAGAAAGAACAGAGATAACGTACATACGTGTACTAAGCAGTATTTTCTTAATTTCAGAAAAATATATTATTTATATATGTTCGATGTTTTTTAAAATTTCATTTTCTGTAAAACGTATTCATATAAAAATCCATTTTGCATAATTTATATAAAATTGTGAAAAAAAATGTTATAGTTGATTAAAAATAAAAGAAAAAAAAAAGATGGAGGAAATTAACTGAACAGAGGAGAGAGGAAAAAAACTGTGACAGAGGTACCGGATGGCTGGGACATTCCACATGAAAGAAAGTACGAATGTTATTAACACTATGCATCATGTACGTGTACCAGATGGAAATATAGAAACTTTTTATTGCTTTAAAGATAAATCAACAAAATACTGAAACTTAATTTTTCATCATAAACTTTTGATCTTTCGATTAAACTTTGGGCAACGACAATTCTTGTATTGAAAATCGAAAAAATTGCTTTTTCTAAAGTTCCATAATTACCGACATCATTAAATTTTAGTTAATTAAATAATTTTACAAGAAGACATGCAATATAATGATTTTTCAATTAAAAGAGACAGATCTCGTTAAACAAGTAATACAGATATATTATAATTACACAAGTAGATATGTATCATAGATAGATAAATAATACAGGCAAATTATGATATTTAAAATGAAACAGGTGTAGTAAATATAATTGAACTTCAATCTATGTAATTTCTAATATATATTTTTGTACTTTTAAATTTATTTTATATTCGTATATACTTAATCATTAATATTTTTATCTTCTTTTTTCCCAAGAAATTCTTTTTCATGGATTCTTAACAAATTACTCATTTCGAAAGATTTATATTACAGATATTTCCAAAACCTATACGATACTTTTTAACATTATTTTTGCTATTGTATGTTCTTTCAAACTGTTGACGATTTTATCGATAAATTAGATAATAATTAATTCAACAAATTTCTGGGATCAACGCCATAGATGAATGTCGAAAATTCTCTAACTCATTAATAGAAACACAGAATGTGCAAGGAGGTATTCGTAACCTCACAAACAAGGAAAACAAGATTTATTGCGAAAAGGACGTTAAGAGAAAACGTGCCATTAACTTTGATTATGCAATTTCTAATACTTCGAGAAAGTAACATTGAAAATTAATTGATTGCAAATTTTTTTTTACTGAAAATTTCTAATTAACGTTTATAATTGCATCTCGATATTTGAAAATACTTGGATCAAAGACGATTGATCAAAGCCAACTCTAGATCTAATGATTATCATTATATCCTGTGTTTAGAAAATATTCAAAAAGATCTCCAAACCACTCGTGGTAAAAAAATGTAAGAAAATGTAATTGTTTCCTTGGTCTCAGAGCTTCGTTAAATCCTTAAAAAAAGCAACCCTTCCTTAAAAGGGAATTTTCAATTAATTTCTTGAAATTTGGATGATAACAATCTAGCTCCACTTGTCTCTCATAAATTTGTCTGAGCAGTTATCTCGAAACGGAATAAATCAATCTCTAAAAAATCATAGCAAATTAACCAGGAGAACGAATTCAATAAATCTTCACCGAAAAGAAATGTTAATATATTTTCATGAAATACGTATATCGTTTCTAAAAACAAAAACAAAACACACAAATATTGAGTATTTAATAAGTTATAAGCAATTTAAGTTTAGATGAAGTAGAATAAGGAACAGAGTGCGATTGCCCAAGTGAACTAATCTACTAAAGTAGATTAAGACAGCCACGATTGAATAAAATGAAACTGTTAAAACAAGTAGATTAAGATTAAAATCAGTCTTTTTATTATATCTCAATTATTCTCAGTTATATATACTTGTTTCATCAATAAGTTGTATTTATTTTTATGAATTTTATATAATCTCTAACTTTATAAGTGTATATAATCAACGATTATAAACATATAAAAAATTACTATTGCAACAAGCAATATCTTTCTCCCGTATTCGTAACGAGTTAATACGAGTTTTATTAGTCTTCTAATACCTATTTATACACTTAATTTCATTTTTAATAACAGCCAATAATCTCTAATTTAATAATCGAAATAAGGCGAAGGAGGAGGAAATTAATGTCGGCGTTGTAAATTTTCTAAACTCGAAATGGAACGTTCGAGTTCTCGAGCCGAAGAAAATATAATTGAACCGAATGACACGAGAAAGATTTCAAGTTTAAGCAGTTTGCACTCGGAGGAGAAATTCGATTCATGACAAATTCAAATCTTTCGTATCTTCTCATGAGTAATTCATAGCGCGTCCCTGAATTATAAACTTCTGTTACGAATTTCCCGAGATCCAGTTGAAAATGAATTTAATTCTATTTTTGAGGGAGAACATTAATTGTTAGCACGCGAGCTGAAATATTAATTTGATTTGAAACGAAAGTTGCTTTCTTATCTTGCCTCAGATGCATCCGCTTATTTTAAAAATGATTAAAATAAACGATGCATGTCTAAGAGCTTTTTTTCATCCGGTTTTCATCGTCCCATTGAAAATGAACGATTTCTCGTGCTGCTAAGTGCTAATTGAATGGTATGAAAAATAGTGAAAGAAGAAAATTTTCTTTTATAAAACTGAAAATATTACCATCAAT